ATTGAATTAGAAATGGAATAGCAAGGAATTTGAGCCAACCACCACGGGTAAGTTGATCCAAGGGAAGAACTAGTTTCTTAGCATCTCCAATCATTCCAAGAATGCTAAAACTATTCATTAGGGATCAAGAATCCATAAACGAGCTATATCAATTGACCGAACCATATCGAACAACCTCAGCAGATCGGGCAAATCTTACCAACCCAAAGCCAATTAAACTTAGTTGGCCGAGCCAGAGAATCCAGACTAAGCTCATACATGTAAAATACTAGAAATACTCTAGTACAACATCCCTTAATGCAGAATAAAAAATATAATATTATCATTGTGCAATCTCCTCTATAAATAGGGGAGCTACTAGGCAAAAATGACACAGAACTATCGGTAAAAAGACAGTTAGAGGCCAAAACATAATTGATCTTTGTAGAAAAGGATGTAGGCATCATACATGTAAGTAGCCCGGTCAACATTACCATGGACTCGAAATATGATGGTAGGGTCCAAGATGCACGTCTTCTGTAGGCAATCCGTCTCTCCTTGATTCATCCATTATCAATCATTCGATATAACTGACCCAAAGCCTATAGGAGAATATCACTGAGTCATTTGAGCAAAGTGCGGATATAAGATTAAGAAAAAAAAAAGAACAAAAGAAAAAGGCCGAGTAAAGTGTAGCGTCACCGACCCACATCTTTTATATATATATGGAAACAAAATAAGTTGAATTATCATACGGGTAAAATGGAACTCTATAGTGGTTTCAAAAATATGCCGATAGAAGGATCACAATAACATAGAAAATGAACAATAAAAACAAATTATATTCCAGAAAACTCCTTAAAAGCACAAGAAAGATTTGAGTGTGAAATATAATGATCAAAGTTTTGGGGTTAGATACATAATTTCATAAGATTGTGTGCTATGTTTGTAAATGCCCCATAGTAGCTATGAATATATTAATGAATTCCTATTATTTGGTTTTTTCAAAGATAAAAATTTAATTTATGCCCCCTCTAAGAAATCAAATTGATTTAAATTTATGAAAAATTGTTTTAACACAGCCGCTTGCTGCCAAATAGGAAAAAATGTTACATCAGGACTCCGCACGTAGAGTTATGTGTGGAGTCCAATGAAATCACGCCACACACGTGAATGTGAGAAAAAAAAATCAGTCTGGTAACACATGGGAATATTTCTCATGTGTTATTCAGGTGTTATTGATGTGTTATTGTGTTATTATAACACCAGAAATATTCTCAGAACACAACAACATATGAATAACATACAATAACACTTGAATAACACGAGAGAATATTCTCCTTTGCTACCGAAAATATTCCCCTATAACGTGACTCCGCACGTAACTGTAAATGCGGAGTACCGATGTAATATTTTTTCGTCAAATAGGGGTTAGCTAACGTTCAAACAACTCACAAGGGCGTACTAAGTAAATTGGAAGTATTATGGGGGTCATTTGGTAATTAAGCAGTGGGGAGCCAGCTACTCACCGTGTTTGACCGGGAGAGATCAGAAAGATAGCGTGCGAATTCCTTCGTCCACCAATAGAAAATATAAAGGGAAATTATGACGGGCCCCACGGCCCATAGTTCGCTTCGATTTGGCCCACCGAGGCGCCCTCGAACCGAGAGGAGCGGGATCCCGCACGTGCGATCCACACGGTCTTCTATGGTTTTGCCTCATTTTTTCTTCTCTCCATCTCTGCTATACACGTGCCGCATACATTTGCTCTTTTTGTCAAATTTGATGATACAAGGCATTCATTGTATTTATCGAAATTGATTAAAAGAGGATTGTAGTAATAATTAATTAAATTAAAGCTATTCGAAAAGTTTAGTATAATTAGAAATGGGGCATTTAGATGCATACCGGCCAATTCCTATGTATTTACATATCTAACACATAAAGTAGAGTTGTTACATATATACCACCCAAACTATTTTTCACAAATATACCACCAAATTATGTAAAGTAATATAATTAGAAAGTTTTACATATATACCACCCAAATTATGTAAGGTAATATAATTAGAAATTGAAGTATAGAGGCTAGATATGTAAATACATAGCAATTGAGTGGTATATATGTACGTAAATCTTCCTAGAAAGAACAGTGACTAGAATTGCCTGCGGTACTATTTAACATTTGGTTGTGTCGAACGCCTCCCTACAAAATTACTTCATTCAATATCTTTGCCATGAAAATGGAGAAATTTCATGAACGCTAATTAAACATAAATTGTCTCCTTGTGCTCAACAAATCACCTCAGTAAATCCTCGTTTAATCTATAATCCATATTTTAATTTTTTAATTTTTTCGTTCATACAAGTGACTCTTAAAAGCTAGAGAAACTTATTATACCACACTTATGAATAATGATGGATGAGAAGGTCACATCACGATAAATTATCCCTATGTCTAAACTTCCATATTGTTAAGTATGACTCATAATACTAGAATTTGGAGTCTTTTGAAATAAAGAGATGTCTCTTGGAATTGAAGAGTTGTGCGTCTTCGAATATAGTGGGTTGGGGGGATCAGCGAGGGCGTAACGGAAGCGTGGTGGCTCAACCCACATTTGTGCATAAGAAACTCCATGATATATTTCTACTAACGGGCTGAATATTTGCCAAGGTGGAGATTTGTTGGGTATATGCATTTCTCCTAAATGGGCTGGATATTCGCTAAGGTGGAGATTTGTTAGGTATGACTCATATACCATAAATGGGATAGATGTTGGAACGGAGCGGAGCCCACGAGCGGAGTGGAGCGGAAGTATCTGTCCAATCGGGGGAGTTTCATTATGTTGGTTCTTATGAGGGTTGGGGGTGCGAGGGCAACACCCCGCGGTTTAGTACAAGGGTAATTTAAGTAATTACATATTATACTATAAGGTTATATATAAGGTTATATATATGTCTATATGTCTTGTTTGTAACCCTAGGTGAGCCTCTGAGTCTCTGAGATTATGAATCTTGTATTATGTACTCATTTCTGAATATTGAAAAGGAAGTCGTCGTTTTACTCCCGATGATGTAGACATCTTTGCCGAACCTCGTAAATATATGTGTGTTCTTCTGGATTTGTGTCAATTCCTATTTTTCTTCGCTCTAATTTCTTAACACATACATAATTATTTTTTCAAAAGCTCATATAATATTGTGTAAAGAGTAGAAAAGAAATTTTTTGTGGTAAAATCTTTTAGTATTTTAACTTTCATTTTTTCATTTTATTTATTTGACTTATTATTATAAGGGCATTAAAAAGAATAGAATAGATGTATGTACATGAAGGCAAATTAGCACCTTATTATATTGAATTTTAATAATAGCATCCATTCTTGCTTTAGTTGATCTCATCATGCACTATAAAGTGGATATGTGGAGCAAGCTACATCTCTCAATGGATGTGGGATATATATATATATATTTCGGCTGTATAAGTTCTCTTTGATCTTGGGTTCGAATCTCGTCCTTGACGACTGTTGCCTTAAAGAAGGTGTACTCAAATATTTAAGCACATGGGTCGCTCCCATACCTGAAAGGGGTTGAGCTAATAAGGTGGGTTGGGGTCCTCACACCCAAACCCATTCTTTAAACTCTCTCTCTCCCTCTCTCTCTCTCTCTCTTTATATATATATATATATATATAATAATTTAAATATAAAGTGACATAAGATTGCTCTCTTTTTCTAACTTAGTTGATGGCAGCAATTATAAAAATTACATATAAATCTAACAGTATCATATAACTCACTCTAGTCGTCATGACCATGATAATCTTAACCATTAAGCTTGAAAAAGTCTCATAATCAACCGACCAATAATTGCCTGCAAACCAGGTATGATAAAAGGGCAAAACTGCCATTTAATGAATTGCATGAGCATAGGTGCGTACATATGAGATTCCCATGAACCACAAATCATGTTTAAAATAATGCTAAAATGTCAGAGCAAGCACGAGGCAGGCAGAAGAGATAACAAACCAAACCAAATAAAATAGTATTGAAGTCACAGGGAATAGAAGAGGAATAGAGGGAAGAATAGAAGAAGAATTTGGAATGAGATTAATAGGGTTTAATTTAAATAATTATTTTTTTTCTCATTCCCTCTGACTTCTCCATTGGATTTATTGATCCCAATCACCTTCTTCAATTTCTCTTTTTCCGGTTTGCAAGTCCGAGCAGTCCCTTATTCAACAGACAGCTCCCCATATCTCCTCATTAAAGCTCCATTAAATTCCAAAACCCATGCATGCATTCTACTCTAAGAAGGCTAATTAAACAGCACTAGATCTCTTTAATTAGGATTATATAAATAATTAATTGAGTACGTGGTTTAATATGTATGTGTAGCTTGGTATGATTTAATGCTATTTTATTATATTTTTAGCTCTTTAAAGTGTAAAACAATCCTCTTGCTCATGCACCGAGAAGGAACCTTGCTTGGCGACTTGGTTTTCTTCTCTGTTACTTCAGCTTACTACAGCTGAGAAAGAGGAGAGGAGAAGGAGAAGGAGAAGGATATTGCTGTTTTTGAGGTTTGTTCTTTTGCTTTTGGTTTGTGGTGTATTTTGCAGATTTATCTTAGGGTTTAAATTTGTTTTTGGGTAGAAGAAAATACATGATGAAGAGCTGAAAAGTGCAACTTTGTTGTGAGCTTTTGTTTTACGTGAACTTAATTCATATTTTTGGTGCTTTTTAATTGTTTTTTCTTTAATAACTTGGCTACATGAGAGAGTTGGTTAGCTTTGTGTCTTATTTCATATTTTGAGACAAATTTTTGCTATTGTAAAATATTTAAATCAGTAGCTACACTTTAGATGATAAAGATGTTGAAATTTGTTTCCAAGAGCTTTGGAAGGAATATATCTCAAACTTCCTCCCAAACTAAGCTAAATAAAAAGAGTAATTAGGGTTTTCATTAATTTTGTTATTTTTATTCATTTTTTTTTGTGATTTTATGTGTAGTTTTGTTGTTGGTGGAAGAAAGAAAGGTAGAGGAGAATGAACAGTAATGGAAATGGTCAGCTTGCTGTGCCTCCAGGGTTCAGGTTCCATCCCACAGAAGAAGAGCTTCTGTATTATTATTTGAGGAAGAAGGTGGCTTATGAAGCTATTGATCTTGATGTTATAAGAGATGTGGATCTCAACAAGCTTGAACCATGGGATCTTAATGGTTGGGTTTCTCTCTTTTATAAAAATTCCTTTTTTTTTTCTTGGGGGGGTTGTCTTATCATATGTGGTCTCCTTTTGAAGTAAATTGCTCAGGTTAAAATGCTCTTTTTAAATTTCTTAACCTCTTAGCTCTAGATCTTCAACCTGCACTCATAAACTTGTTTATAAATTATTTATGACCAACAAGACGTTTATACTTAATTTAAAAATGTTTATCTTTGTAAAGAAAATATTTATTTGTTATTATATTCACTTTTAACATACGAAACAAGAGGTTTCCTTCCAATTAGATATGAACAACTTACATAAGCTCAAAGAAAACATGCCTTATATTCATTTAGAGAAAGATTAATGGCTACTCTAAGTATATCGAATGAGGGATTTTTGAAGAATCTCATATAGACTCTACTAATGCTGCTGTTTACGCTTATCTCTGGTGCACCCTAAACCCTAACAAGCATATACTGCTTTTGTTTCTTCTTTCAATTTCCTCTTAGTCTTGAGCTCGAGCCAAACATTTATGTTTTGACATGTTTACATGCGTAAAGAGTTCCAAAGTAATAATTTCATTTTAGAATCGTTTTTCTTACTTGTTCATTAGTTGTACATATAAAAACATATTTTTGAAGAAAATAATAATTTCATTGAACTTTGATTATTATTATTATTGCAAATTAGTTGGTTGATGTTTGTGCATGTAATTTATATTTTATCCCTCGTATAATCATGGAATCTAACAAATTTATTATTTAAAAAAGTATTTTCTTCACTTCAAGAGATCAAATGAACAAGTTGCAGGATCGACATGCTTCTCTTCTTCACGCCGTATTTTGCTCAGTAATGAAAAAATAGTGACAAGACAAACTTCCCTACAATTCAGGCCTTCGACCGGATAAGACAATATATATTTATACATCTATCGCACGCCTCATCTTCTTTCATATATATAGAGAGGCACAAGGACAAAATTTCAGCTTTTCATGGAAAAGTTTGATCCATAGATATCATTACATAATGAAACTTTTTCCCTTCATTATTAGTCTCATAATATAGACAAAATATTTAATTTGTGTCCAGACGTACGGACAACACTGTGGATTGCATCATGTCATGCAATGTGTACTACAACATGATATGATGCACACTGTAGATCTCATATCCAAACAGGGGTGGACCCAGGTAGGGTCCAGGGGGCAATTGCCTCACCTCAAATTCATATTTTTACTTATATGAGAGGGGAATTTGATCTTTTAACCCTCCTTAAATATCGGTTTTTCAACTCATGAAATAGTTTTTTACCCATCATTGCCCTAGCCCCTCTTACGTCTAACCTAGGAGGGCAGTTTGCAACCCCTCTAAAAGAGGCCGGTTCCTCCCCTGCTAGTCTAGACATATAGCTACATCATTAATTCTCTAAAATTTTGATTTTGTGATTTGATGAGAAAATAGATAAATGTAAGATTGGAAGTGGGCCTCAGAATGAATGGTATTTCTTCAGTCATAAAGACAAGAAGTACCCTACCGGAACACGAACTAACCGAGCAACCACTGCTGGATTCTGGAAGGCTACAGGAAGAGATAAAGCTATTCATATTAGCAGTTCAAAGAGGATTGGAATGAGAAAAACCCTAGTTTTTTATACAGGAAGAGCTCCTCATGGCCTTAAGACTGATTGGATCATGCATGAGTACCGTCTTGATGATGACACTTCTGAAATTCAGGTATTCTGTTCTTATGCGCCACTCATTTACTTCTATTTTATTTGCTGAAGAAAGTAATTGTATGTCTTATATGATAAAATATTCATATATACATATTTGAGAAAAATTATTATGCGTGTCTGATCGTATATCTGGATAGTACGTTCAGACGTTGATTCGATTAAGACTGCCACTGTGGATAACATGGTGGCTCATTCGGACCATCGTCCAATCGTGCAGTTTCTGCACATGTATAATAATTTCTCGTGATTGAGAGAATTTATTATCTTAATAAGAAACGAAATTTTGGCACATATAGGTGAAGTAAGAGCATCTCATGGTAAATATATTGTTATTTGTACTGAAAAATATTTGAGGAAATAATTATTAAATTTAATATAGTTGAAATAATTTTATTAATTCATATAATTTACATATCATTAAGGATTATTTTATTAATTAGATAAAATATTAGTAAAATAAAAATAACTTAATATAATATAAAGAAAATTAATAAAACTGGAAAATATTTTTATGATGAAAATAGGAGTCTTAAAAGCATGAAATATGATCATGGATTTAGTCATTTTAGTCACAATCTAATAATTAAATTGATAATATGTGCCATAATGATTATTGCGCAACTTATGCAATTAAGGTTGAACCAAAAAAATTAAGATTATGACACGAGATTTCTTTATAATATTAAAATTAAAGAACAAAAAAAAAGTTTATATTTTAGTATAAATATCTTGTTATTTCTTAAAAAAGTGTCAAGCCCTCTTGACTAATTTCATATCAATAGATCATGATCTAATTTTCCCAGCATAATTTAACATATAATGTAATTAAGAACTAACATCTCAAAATTAAGATTATTATAATATTTTGAATGTCAACTATTTAGCATTTAAAAATGATTATATTGAGAAAATAAAGATCTTTTAAATTATAATCTTATAATAAAACTAAAAACATTTAATTAAGTTCATGTAAACCTGAAATCATTAGATTCGAATTAGTTTTTATCTTTTCTTTACATAACATTAATTAATGTAAATTAAATTATTTTGCCTTATTTTGTTATATAAATTTTCATGAACATTATTTATAGCTTGAAAAAAAATTATTAGTGTAGAGTCATGTCAACATAATTGCTGTGTGGTATAATGGACTAATGAACAATGCTTGTTAGCTATTAATTAACATATTTTCAACATATTTTAGTTATATATAATACAACTAATTATTAGGTGTAATTAAGTGAATTAAACAGAGAATAAGAGAGGGTGGTATATATATTATGACTAGAAAATTAATATTGTTTGCAATGTATTGACTTAATTCAATGAATGATTAATGTGAATATCAATTTGTCAATTATAGTGTTTTCTAGTTATAAAAGTTGACTTCTGTGTGGTAGAATTCAGACCAGCCATAAAGAGCATTGGAAAAGGCAATTGACTTATGTGGCCCTCAGTTAAATGATTAATGCAGGATTCAAAGACTTCGCAAACTTCAGAACTTTAGAGAATAAATTTACTTTAGCTCAAACTTTGCTCAAGGCAACATATCAATATATATATATATATAATTTTATTCCAACTTCTTAAATTAAACAATAGAAGAGTAAGGAGTAAATACATTATGGGCATCTCATCTTCTTATATAAATAGGAATTGCTAGAATATTTAAGATGCATTGATCGAATGGTGAACATAAAGAATGTTTCTTCTCATCAAATGTGTAAAACTAGAATGTGTACGGATAGAGAATGCACAATATAATGATGAAGTGCCTCTAGTAGTGTAATATGACGAGTATACACTATATATAAGGAACAAAGGAAGACATGGTAGAATTGTCGCACACAAGATTCAGGTTGTTCTATTTAAAAGAGTGAAGACATGCAAATGAGAAAGCTTTGATTGCCTTCTCTCAAGTGGGATTTGATTTCGATCCCAACCATATATAGTATCTAATCTCAAATATGCCTAGCATAAAAATGAGGAAAGCCACACAATTTTATTTACCAATGTTTTATATTTGCATGATATTTTGAGTGAATGAGTTGCATGAGAATCTAGATATGCACATAATCTCATATCTATGACAATTGTCATGAAAATAAGGAATATTCCTTGATATATAATATTGATTCTATGCAATATTGATTGCACCAAATACATAATTAACATATTAAGTCATAATCATCATATATTTTCATTGACTCAATAATATGCTGCAAGTATTGATCTGTAAATTCTGTCTCCCTCCTATCCAAGATACCTCCTATCCAAGATATGCACTCTAAGCTCTTAAAGGCACTTAGGGCAAAACCTACACAATCTAAATTATAAAGCACAAATGATGCATGAATTGAACACTTATGAGAAGCCTTTAGAGCACAACTACTTCAAGCTAAGCTGTCTCTACTAAACCTAAAGGTCTACTCATCACCACAATCTATAGATCCGAGCCTAACAACATTAACATACTATGCGTGAAATAATGTACTATGTATAATTTCTCTTAAGGAAGATTAAAACATTTATTAATGAATAATATGTAACAAGTGGTGAATTTAAGGCATTAAATTAGGTGAAAACCATAGTTAACATTCAAATGACAGAATTGCGAAAGAATTAATATTGAAGTTTTATTTAATTTTTATGTAGTAATTAAGAGTGTGGGGGTGGGGGTGGAATGCTAAGAAAAGTGGAAGGAATGGGTTCGGGGTGGTTGAAGGCCAAGAGTTAACGTTGATTCGAT